GGGAAAGAGGAAGACTATTCATTGGGGATTCTGTCTTACCTCCCTCGTTCGGAAACTCAGCACACTCATGATATTTTGTAAGCCAGCCATTTTGTGCCTTTATTGTCCCCATTTTTTTTTTTTTTTATAGCCAATGTCTAAATTGCCTGTGGTATGGCGCTGTGGGTTAATGCACCAGACTGTAAAGCCATTTGAACTGCAAGGTTGGTGGTTCAAGCTCACCAGTTGGTCCTGGGAAACCCTATACAGGGTCACTATGGGTCAGAACCGACTTGACGGCACTGAACAATAACAACATCCTCCCAGTGCACTGAGGAAACCAGGTTGGTCCTTCACATGAAGAAGCCTTCCATTTCAGTTGGAATTTTGAGCAATTGCAGCCATAAGCAAAGGTTCAGTTCATGAAACTGTAGCAATTTATATTTGCTCACAGTATGAAGCATCTTTATCTTCCTTTGGTCAGATTCTGGTCAGCCAGCCAAATGTGTCAAATGGGTACTAGCTGCAAGTTTGGAGTTCATGCATGCTTCCCTGCACTTCAGACCAGTTGGCCGCTAGGTCAGAGCACATGAGCTCGGGCGTTTACACATCTCCCTAAACTTCAGACCAGCCAGCTGTTCCTCTTGTCTCTGAGAGCTCTAGTCTTATAATGAACATTTCAATTGATTTCTTGCTACATATTGGTGATGTTGTTGTAAGTGACATAGAATCTGTTAGAATGTTTATGGAGCAAACAGCCTTGGGAGGTAGAGACAGTATCCCTTTCTAGAGCAAAGGGCAGGGTTGTTTTTTTGTTTTGTTTTGTTTTTTCACTGCTAGTGATAGCAACTTTATGTGCAGTTATAGCTGCATGCAGCCGCCTCCTGCAGTCTCTCATACTTGGAGGAAGTAACATCAGTGAGTTCACCAGCTGGTTGTGGGTCATGATGTGGACACTGGAAATACATGAGTGTCCGTCACAGCCTGGCTATCCATCCTCCTGGTGATATTGAGAGATGCTCACTATATACACACATGTATATGTAGTCCTGGAGTATAATACACAAGATTGCAAAATCAGTTTAAACTGCAAGGTTGGTAGTTCAAGTTCATCAGGTGCTCCTCAGAAATCCTATACAGGGTCGCTATGGGTCGGAACCGAGTCAATGGCAGTTAACAACAACATGTAGTCCTATGGAGTCCTGGGTGGTGCTGGGGGTTAATGCGCTGGACTGCAATGTCAGTTTGAACTGCAAGGTCGGCAGTTCAAATTCAATAGCTGCTCCTCAGAAACTCCATACAGGGTCACTGTGAGTCAGAACTGACATGACGGCACTTAACAAGAAGAACATGTACAGTCCTGGGAGAGTGCTGTAGGATAACACTGTATGGCTAGCCACAAGGTCAGTGGTTGAAATCCAGCAGCCCTTCCTCAGGAATTCTCTACAGGAGTGCTAAGCTTTGGGAAATGACTTGATGGCACTTAACTATAGTATGTATATATATGTATGTGTATACTATGAGTCGGTTCCGACTCCACGGCACATAACAACAACAACAACAACAATACTATATGTAAGTATACTCATTCTTCACTTATCAAGTATCTCATTAGCTAATAGTTTGCATTTGTGACAATAGGAAAAATCTGCTATCCGACTGTTAATTGCTGTTCTCTTGTTGATATGTGCTGTTGAGTTGTTTTTGACCCATGGTGACCTGGGGTGGGGTTCCCGAGGAACAACTGGTGGGTTTGAACTACCAACCTTGTGGTTAGCTGTGCAGTGCTTATCCTACAGAGCCACAGCAGCACTATGTGATTTGTTTGGCATGAATGGTGTTAAGTGTGGCAGATAGAACTGTGAGCTGCGAGGCAGTAGGAACCCTGGTTATGAGGGTTAAGGCGAGGTTTCCACTTCACTGGGGCAGGAGTCCCAGTTATTTGCCAATTGTGTAAAGATGGAGTTTAGCAGTAAGTATGGATATAATTTGGAGTCCTGGTATGGCGCTGTGGGTCAATGCACCAGATTGCAAAGCTGTTTGAATGGCAAGCTCGGCAGTTCAAGCTCACCAGCTGTTCCTCGGAAACCCTATAGATGGTCGCTTTGGGTTGGAACCAACTCGACGGCACTTCACAACAACAACAACAACAACAACAACAAAATGATATCATTCAGTAGTAATGTAATGACCTAGTTTGTGGTATAATGTGGTCACCTTTCCTTTCTGCATAATACTGATTTTCACATTGGTGCATAGTCATGTTGATAATGAACAGTGGGTGTATTGTGGTGAAAATACAGACAACGAAACACACCACTTCAGCAATTTCTGCATGCGTAGTTCAGTAATGCTGATTACTGTCAGCATCTCACTACAAGTTCCCAAGTTGTTATCATGATTAAGATCTACTCAACATCACCTGAGCTAAAAGTCCCTGGCCCCCTCCCACCTGCTCCTTGTAACCATAAAGATAGTATCTTTCTAATATCAAGTTTTGATCAAATACATATTAAATACATTTGCTTATTTAATATAAGTGAGGCTGTACAGTATTTGTTCTGTGATTTTTTTTTTTTTTTTTACATTAAAAATTGTTGTTGAATATATACCCAGGAAAGCTTACACCGGTTCAGCAATTTCTGTGTAGACAATTCAGAGACAGTGATTACATTCTTTAAGTTTTGCCGGCATTCTCACTTTCTTTTTGAACCATTCCCCACCATCAATATAAACTTATAGCCCCATCAGCTTCTTATCCAGGCTTTCTCAATATTCTTTTAATGAAATCATCTTCTAAAATTGTCCAGGGCTGGTGTTCATTATTTGGAATTAAGAACTTTAATGAAACATTCTGAAATGTAGTTAATCATTAGAAAAAGGTTAAGATTGAGAACTAGACAACTAGGAAAATTTCATTGCATCATATGTTTTCCTCTCTGTGTGCTTGCTGTAGTCCTCTGCTCTTCAGTCCGTGAGCACTCAATGGGGCAGACAGAAAGGGTTGGGTTTATACAATCCAGCTGAACCACTCGCTGTTCCCCAACCCCAACTGAAAATATTCTGATCCATCTGGCCATGGAAAATGTGTGGGGATGTAGGAAAAAAACAACCATGATTGCTGGGATCCCACCACTGTTATTAGGGGTTAGGGAGTTGTACTCTGAGAAAAGGCTAAGCTATGTGGGTTGGAAAGATATACCAAAGGATTCTAGCATTCATAAATCACAGCAGGCTGGGCTCACCTGAGACTACTACGGCTTCAGACTGTCATTTATCCCAAGTGACATTATGGGCTAAGTCTATCTTGGTAACGTGTGCCCAACATTCCGTTTGCAAAACAGAGAAGACAGATATCTCTAATCATCTCTAAAGATGGCCACATGTGAGAAAACAAGAGTTACACTGAAAACACAGGAATAGCCACACTTCTGAACAAGAAGTGAAAAAAAAAAACTGAAAGAAAGGATTTGATAACTGATTTTCCACAGAAGCACTAGAGGAAGGTGATGAGGCATAGGGTCCAAGGGAATGCTGTCTGGGATTTGTCTCCACTAAGATAGTTCCATATTAGTGTCTTCAAGTTTTGACCCAACCTTAGGTAATCTTTGCCATGATTGTTTGGTCCAAAGGGGCCAAATGGTAGGTGGGACAATTACTGTCTTCCTGCCTGTAATGAGGCTCTCAGGGAATTTGGGTCAGTGACCATGGAGACTCCCATAAACGTCTGTGATTTTCCAGACATCCTTCTTGCACTGAGGACTGAGTGTATGCATTCCGGCTCCTCTCCATCCACACGAACCCAGACCACCAGTCTCTGCTCACGTGGGAGAAAGCAAAGTGAGTCTGGGACTCCTAGTGACAGTGAGCACTGCAATTCTGTCCAGGTAAGAGCCAGGCCAGAGGAGACTTCCCACTACCTGCTGTTAAGGTTGGAAGCCTTATGCAGAAACTCCTCACTGAGTATTTTACGTGGGTCACAGTTCTAAAATCATCAACCATTTCTGAGATCTTCTAGGAATGACTAGTATAGGCCCTATTTAGAAGTCCCTGAATGTGGGCATCACTAGTTGGCAGAATTTTCTTTTTTAAATTATACTTTAGGTAGAAGAGTAATTTAGTTTCCCATTCTATAGTTTGTACAAGTACCCCACAGTGTGTCAGCCCTCCCCCTCCTTTGTACCCTGGTTTCCTCATTTCCATCTGTCCTGATTTTCTACCCCTTCCTGTCTTTTCTTGATTGCTTCTGGGGAAATTGACCGAGTTTTTTTTCCTTTGCCTTTGGATCTCTTCTGTTTGACCAGTTTACCAGTTGGATTTAGGAAGGTCCGTGGACATAGCCAAGAAGTCTTGATTAGGAGTTCTGGAACATTCTCTGTAAGTTGAAAGGAGCGGAAAGGAGCAAGAGCAGTGGCAGCATGATCATGGCCACTCTGGAAGCAGTGAGTGGTGAATGGCTGATGTAACTCTGTGAGCCTAGATGTTCAGGACGTTCCCCTTGTCCAGATGCAAGATGAATAAAACTGAATCTGAGCTACGTTCAAGATTTCCTCTAAGGCCACCTCACCGGTGACATGGATGACATCACTTTCCTATATTAAACACTACATGTCCGTCTCTATGAGAGCCAAGACACATATGTGTTATTCACTAGTCTATACAAGTCTTAAAGTCTCTATTAATTTTTTATAGTGTTTCAAAACATTACTTTAAATATTTATGGTGATGGTGGAAATTTCAAAGAGTACAAAATGGTATGTAGACAAAACCCCATCATTATCTTTTGAGCATCTTTCCAGAGGTACTCTTGATGCATAAGTATTTGTAGTGGAGTCTAATGAAGAAATGGAAGCTCAGAGAAGTCCAGGGAGTATTCTCGAGGGATTAAAATCCTAATGATTTACCTATGTCACACAGAGATTTCTCTCCTTGTGATCTTAATTATTCCTTCTCATCCATCCTTCTCTAGGTTTAAAAATTGATCCTGTCTTATCTGTATCTGAACTCAGGTCTCCATGCCCATGAGCAGGATAAACCAGTCGAGTGTCTCTGAGTTCCTCCTCCTGGGGCTGTCTTGGCAGCCGCAGCATCAGCAACTCCTCTTTGTGCTCTTCCTGATCATGTACCTGGCCACAGTCCTGGGAAACCTGCTCATCATCCTGGCCATCAGCACAGACTCCCGCCTGCACACCCCCATGTACTTCTTCCTCAGCAACCTGTCCTTCGTGGATGTCTGTTTCTCCTCCACCACTGTCCCCAAGATTCTGACCAACCACATACTTGGGAGTCAGACAATCTCCTTCTCTGGGTGTCTCACGCAGCTCTATTTTCTCATTGTGTTTGCCCATATAGACAATTTCCTTCTGTCTGTGATGGCCTATGACCGCTTTGTTGCTGTATGCCACCCCTTACACTACACAACAAAGATGACCCCTCAGCTCTGTGCCCTGACGGTCTTTTTTTCTTGGGTCATTGCCAATCTGAATGCTCTGTTGCATACCCTGCTGATGACTCGACTTTCATTCTGTGCAGACAACAATATCCCCCACTTCTTCTGTGATGTGAGTGTCCTGAAACTCTCCTGTTCTGACACATACATCAATGACATGGTTATTCTTATTGTAGCGGGGCTGGTTATGATCGCTCCATTTGTTTGCATCCTGGTTTCCTACATTTGCATCACCTGGGCTGTCCTGAGAGTCCCATCCACAAAGGGAAAACTGAAAGCCTTCTCCACCTGTGGCTCCCACTTGTCTGTGGTTTCCCTCTTCTACGGCACCATCATTGCTCTGTATTTCAACCCTTCCTCCTCCCACTCAAAAGAGACAGACATTGCAGCTACTGTGATGTACACAGTGGTGACCCCCATGCTGAATCCTTTCATCTACAGCCTCAGGAACAAGGACTTGAAAAGGGCCCTAAAAAAAGTAATTGGTAGAAAAAGGTTTTCTACCCAATGAAAGTATCAAAGCTGAATCTTTTCCCCAAGAAAAGTTATTTTTCATATTTGATTATAAGGTAGTATTTATTTTATACAAAGCCACATGAATCAAACATATTGCTGGGGTCCATATAAAGGTACTGTTCCTTATTTATGAGTAGACCAGGATTAGCCTGTAACCCTGCTATATGTGCCAAGTAGCAAGGCTTCTTTGTGATGAATGAATTTTGAATTATTTTTCCTCCCAAATTTTCTTTTATGATGGTCTGTTTGGAAAGGTATATGCTAAATAAAATATTTTGAATATTATAACCATCTGGGAAGTTTTGAAAACACCCTGATGTTGAATCTCCAGCCCTAACAAAATAAAACAGAATCTCTAGGGTGGAAAGACACTGATGGTTTGAGAACATTTTCAGATGATTCTCATGTGCAGTCAGGTTGAGAATCATTGGTCTATCTCATATTCTGTATGTTCTCCTAGATGGTCAGCCATAAAGGTTGGATCTCAACCACTCACAACTTTGTTTTGAGAATCAGAAAAAAGGAAATTAGAATGAATTCTGAGGACACTAGTGGGTCGTAGTATTTTAGATAAGAAGTAAGAGTCCCTGGTGGACACTGTGGCCCAGAGCAGTAAGACGTGAAGAAACACAGAATCATGGGAATCCTGCATGACCATCTGGCTTGGCTGACTGATTCTGAGGGGTGGGTCCAGCTGGAGTCTTATCTTTGATATTAGGGAATTAAATCAATATTTGCTATTCCTTCTGCCCAGACTAACTCCTCTTACTTTCTTCTCAGTCTAGCAATCCTGTTCCCTCTGCACACGTTCAACCTTTCTGTTTCCCTCTTCTGAGTTCATGGTTCTATTTGTTTTGGGGTTGGTTGCACATTGTACTATAATTATTTGACTTTCACCTCTCCCCTCTCCATAAGACATTGCACAGACTATGAGACGCCCCAGATCCAAGCACTGAGATTTTCCTCCTTGGATCCCTAGTGGCTGGCAGTGTTTCTGGACCAGAGGCAATAATCAAGTTGTTGTTGTTGTTGTGTGCTGTCAGTCAGTGCTGACTCATATAGACCCTGCATAGGGTTTCTGAGGAGTGGCTGGTGGTTTAAACAGCGAACCTTGTGGTTAGCAGTCTAGTGCTTATCCTGCAGTGCCACACCAGATCCCCTAATCAACTTAATAAATTAAGAGATTGGATGGGTGAATAATGCCTTAAGTCTAATTGAGAAGGAGTTTAAAAAGATAGTATTTTGCTATTTCAAAGGTAATAGCTACACACACGTTGTGAGATTAAAAGTTCAAAGTGTAAGATGAAAATAACTATGACACTTAAGCAGCCACAGTGAGACATTTGTGAATAGAGCTTTACAAAATTGACTGCAATTTTCCCGATCGTTTTGTATCTGGGTTTTCCCAGTTCCTTCTTCACATGACAGTAAACATCTTAGAAATGGGGTTTTAATGCCTGCCTGATATTTATCACATGACTGTGTAGAACTCATGCACTCAGCAGCTCTGAAGAACTTCCAACACGTCTACTGTAACTAACACGGAGCCCACAGCCTCAGGTGTCATTCATCGTCTGCCTCCCTGGGGATTGTCACAGGTGATCTGAGTATTCTACTTCTCCAGGCTGCATCAAAAATGAAGGTCATCTTTCCTTTATGGCTTCAGTCTTTCTCATCTAATCCCACCTGTCATTTCTCTATGGGTCAGTACTGCCCTCTTGGTGTCCAAGCTCTGTGAAAGTCCACTCAGTTCAAAGGAGCCAGTCAGTCCCACTTTCCCCAGTACACAGAGAGAGCACTGAGGCTAGCTGGCATGATTGTGAGTTGAAGGCACATAGTGTGGGTGTCTTGGTGTCATTTGGGTGCCTGCAGGTCTGTTTGCTGCAGCATGGAGACCCATGACCCACATCCCATTGGAGGCTGCCCTGGGTCCACGTTTGGCTCCTAGGTTACAGCTGTCTGGGTCACATGCACTTTTTGCTCCATTAAAGCCTGACTCTGAACTGCAGTGGTTGTGCCCATAGGGTCTTCCAGTCCCTGGTTTTGTGAAACCAGTTCTCCTGTGAACATCTGGATTTATCCTTCTCCTCTTGAACTGTCTTGGGTCCTTGGGGGGACTTTTTAGATGAATTTGTCATCAATCAGTTTTTTTCTTCTCAAGATTTAGCTGTTATGGACAGAATTGTGTCCCCCAAATATGTTGTTGTTAAGTGTTGCCAAGTCAGTTCCATCTGCTAGTGACCCTGGATAGGGTTTCCAGTGAGCGACTGGTGAGTTTGAACTGCTGACCTTGA